GTGGGTGTCACAGAGCTGTCTGATGCACAGAAGAAGCAGCTGAAGGAGCAACAGGAGGTAAGGCTACAGGTGGGGCACTCAGCTCTGATGGTGATGAAGGGCCTGTTGTGTGAGTGCCACCTGAGGAGTTCCTGACAGACGGGTCCCCAGAACCAACATTAGGTAGTGTCCAGTGCTCTGGACTGGGCTTTGTAGAACAGTCTCCATTTGCTCTCTCTTTCCCTAACTCCCTCCAGAATCTAGGACAGGGTATCCTACTGCGCAGGTCAGGTGGGATCATAGCCCCAGAGACCCCAGCCCTGCCTTGCCATAGACCTGTAGCCTGACATCTGCGGTAGCCCTTGCTCTGTCGCTGAGGGTCTCCACTCTCCATGCTAGGATGTGGATGCTTCAGGTTGCGACTCTTATCCTGTCCCGCTTTTTTGGGCAAGGAGACAACCTCCCAAAGCCTCTGCCTGTCCTCTCCACAGATGCAGCAGATGTATGACATGATTATGCAGCACAAGCGCGCCATGCAGGACATGCAGCTGCTGTGGGAGAAGGCACTACAGCAACACCAGCATGGCTATGACAGTGATGAGGAGGTGGACAGCGAACTGGGAACCTGGGAGCACCAGCTGCGGCGCATGGAGATGGACAAGACACGGGGTGTGTGGGGCACGAAGGGTGGGAGAATCCCATTCATCTGCACCACCTGACCATGACATGGTCCAAAGATGGACCTCTGTTTTCTCGTTGACGGGGGAGAGCCTCCATGAGCAATCACTGGTCTGTGTGTGGAACACTAGGCAACGCTGATATTGCCTACCACTTTATCCCTCACCATTCATCTTTCCCTCTTCTCTGGGCAGAGTGGGCAGAGCAGCTAACACAGATGGGTCGGGGCAAGCACTTCATTGGTGACTTCCTGCCCCCTGACGAGCTAGAGAAGTTCATGGAGACCTTCAAGGCCCTGAAGGTGAGTCCTGGGCTCAGGCCTGGGGAAGCTGATGGGGAGGCACCAGCCTTCCTGTGCCATGACAAACAGTGTAGCATTTCCCAGCCACAGGGAAATCATACCTCCAGAGGTCCCCACTCACCTCCAAAGTAGAGGGAGTTTTTCTTTTTTCTTTTCAAGACAGGGTCTTGCCAGGTGACACTGTAGCACATCTGTAATCCCAGCACAGAGGCAGGTGAATCTCTGAGTTTGAAACCAGCTTGGTCTATAGAGTTTCCAAGATAGCCAAAGCTACACAGAGAAACCCTATCTCAGGGGAGGGGAAAAAAAAAAAACAGCCGGGCGGTGGTGGCGCACGCCTTTAATCCCAGCACTCGGGAGGCAGATGCAGGCGGATCTCTGTGAGTTCGAAACCAGCCTGGTCTACAAGAGCTAGTTCCAGGACAGGCTCCAAAACCACAGAGAAACCCTGTCTCGGGGAAAAAAAAAAAAAAAAAAAAAAAAAAAAACAGTCTTTCCATGCAGTCCTGACTCTGTAGAACAGGCTGACCTTGATCTTTTGTGATCCTGCCTCTACCACTCAAGTGCTGGGAGCGGGGGTGCACCACCTTGTGTGTTGCTCCTACTGTGGTGTCCTCAAGCTGGGTATTCAGCACAAATTGTTTTTAGAACATGCACTGTTCTTTACAGTAAACTGTTAATGTCCCAGTGGGACTGTGTCAATGTCACTTTGCCCCTGTTGACTCGATTGCCAGGACGCTCAGTCCCTTGAAGATAGCAAGACGAAGAGCTTGATCTGTTTCAGGGGAGTCTGCCACTGGTGGGAGTGGGGCTCGTGGGTGGTTCCAGTCTGGCCTACGGCTAAGAACAGATAGCTGTAGTCCCCATGGCAGGCAACTTCCTCTTCTTCTGTTGCAGGAGGGCCGAGAGCCAGACTACTCAGAGTACAAGGAGTTCAAGCTGACAGTGGAGAACATTGGCTACCAGATGCTCATGAAGATGGGCTGGAAGGAGGGCGAGGGGCTGGGCACTGAGGGCCAGGGCATCAAGAACCCAGTGAACAAGTGAGTGCAGCCAGGGGGCTTGCTGGGAGCATTTGGATGAACACTTAAGGGCCTAGAGACTAGTGAGCATTGTCTCAGGTGTGAAGTCTTAACACTGTGCGTGACCTCAAGGCTGGCTGACCCAAGTCTGAGTGAATCTAGGACCTCTCCTAGGGATGCTGAGCCCTGCCACTAATCCCCACCCCAGTACCCTGTAGTCCTTTCCTATCTGTCCACAGGGGTGCCACCACAGTTGATGGAGCGGGTTTTGGCATTGACCGGCCAGCTGAGCTTTCCAAGGAGGATGATGAGTATGAGGCCTTCCGCAAGAGGATGATGTTGGCCTACCGCTTCCGGCCCAACCCCCTGGTGTGTGCCTCCTTGACTCCTGCTGGTAACGGGGAGGTGACGGCAAAGCCCCTGCCCTAACTCCCTGGAAGGTTCTGGAGGGGGGACCTGCAGTTTCCCACTAACACTATCACTTTTGATCTTTCTGGCCTCCTACAGAACAACCCCAGACGGCCCTACTACTGAATACTCTGGAAACAAAAAGTCTACTTTGAGATCAGCTATCCTGGGACTGTGGAGTGTTGTGGCATACATCTCTGCCCATTCTGTTGTTACAAGTGTTGTGCTGTGTATTAAAGTCCCCGTGCTCTCCTGCCCAGCATCTTCTTCCTACTGTTTCTAGGAATCCCTTTTGTCCTTCTCCAGTCCCAGTAACTGGAGGCCAGCCAGTTGGTGAGGACTTTACTCCAGGCAGGGGAAAGAGAGGCCTCCAAGCACTTCCTAATATGTACATGGGTTGGTGTTTCCTGGGCACAGCTGGGGTGGGGGTGGGGATTGTCACAGGGACTGTCTCATACCAGAAGCTAGTACAAGAGTCTTTGAAAAGTCAGAACTTGTGCTCACTCACTACAAAGTTACAAGGCCTTCACATGAGCAAGAGCCCAGCTGGTGGCCTCCTAGTGTCAGTCCCTTTGGTTCCATCCGTTCATGATGCCCCTGATCTGCCAACACCTCCACCTGTTCAGAGTCCTTGTCACAGCTGCCTCTTATCTCCAGTTTACCTCTCCAGCCTCCTTTTCCACCACACCCCACCTGGCCTAGCCTTCCTGCTGCCCAACAGCTCTCCCGAATCTTGGATGACTACCATGGGGAGTGTGTCTCCACCTCTCATGCTCCAGGACCTCCTGTGGGAATGACACCCCAAAGCTTCATGCCCAGACATGGGTTCACATTTGCCTGTGGTCACTTCAAGAAAACTCTCAAATCCAAGTTTAGTGATGATCACACTGTATCCAAGTAGACATGGCTCCTCTTTGAGTGAGCATTCATTCTCTGCACCGCTTTGGCTGTCCTGGAACTTGCTCTGTAGACCAGCCTGGCCTGTAACTCACAGATCCTCCTGCCTCTGCCTGACACCATGATGCTCTTTTGATCTAGACAAAAAACCCAGAGTCCCTGCTGCAAGGCAGAGATGACATTTGCCTTGCCTTTAATACCAGCACTTAGAAGGCAGAAGTGGGCAGATCTTGAGGCCAGCCTGGTCTACAAATAGAGTTCCAGGACACCAAAGGCTACACAGAAAGTCTTCTGTCTCAAAAGATCAAAAAATAAAGGGGAGGGGGTCACTTTCAGTTGGAGAGATGTTCATGGCGTAGCAGTGTTTGATGCTTAAACATGAGGACCTGAGTTCTAATCCCAGAGCCATGCAGAAAGCCAGGTACGACTAGCACTGCAGGGAACAGATGGGAGAATGGAAGTCGTACACCAGTTTAGCTGAGATCTCTGCTTTAAGTGAGACCCTGCTTCAAAGGAAGAGAGTAATAGAGCATGACACCTAGCATCATGCATATGCACATACATGAGCGGGCCAGGGAGATGATAGCTCAGAGGGTAAAGGTGCCAGCTGACCATCCTAGCAAAATGAGTAATGGTGTCCTTTGGTCTTCACTCAGAAACTTGGCACATGCTTATCATTTCTACCTTATGCACACACAAAAATTAATTTTAAAGAGCCAGGCACAGTAGTGTGCTCAGTTAATCCCAGGAGTCAGAGGCAGGTGGATCTTTGAGTTCAAAGCCAGGCCTCTCAGAGTTACTTTGGTGAGACCCTTTTTCTAAAATGAACAAAAACCTGACCTGGAGCCATGACTCAGTGATTAAGAGCATTGCCTGCTCTTGAGAAGATCCAGGTCCCAACATCCGCACAGAGGGTCACAGTTGTCATTAACTTCAGTTCCAAGCGATTAAATGTTCTCTTTGGCGTCATTCATGACCACTACAGGCACATGGGCACAAAGACAAAATACCCATACACAAAAATTTTAAAATTTGAAACCTTTAAAGTGTCCCTAAGACTAGAAAAAAAGGTTCAGTGGTTAAGATCATTTGCTGCATGAGGATGAAAGTTCAAATTCCAGAACACAACGACTGGATTCCTGTGAGAGTTCCTGGGACATGGAGGGTGATGAGACTTGCTGATTTCCAGCCTCGCCAAGAAAACAAGCCTCTTTACCTCCAAGCAGTAAGTGGGGAGTGATGCCCACATGCACACAGACACATCTTTAATTGAAAAGGGAATGCCCTTCTCCATGTTCAGGTTATGGTATCAGCGTGTCAGGTCTAAGACGGTGCAGAAAGCTGACCTGATGGTCCACGCTTGTAAGAGCTTTCTGTGCAAACTTGAGGATCTGAATTCAAATTCCCACTATTTGCGAAAAAAGTTAGGTGTTGTCGAAGATGGCGACAGGAGGGAGGATCGCCCTTTGCTGGCATGGCCACAGCAGAGCAGAGGCTATGAAGGGAGTGGGTTGGGGGACGGGGAACTGTTGTAGACTGGTGAGAAAGAGTGGCTATACAGTTCAGGGGCGCTAGAGAATTTGATCTGGAGGTGGGGCTAAAAGTTGAGGTAAGGGGAGTGTCTACAGCGGTGCTGCCGCTAAGAGTGGGGAGGGGCGAGGGAGGCGGAGCCTCGTGGGGGCGGGACCCCGCACGTCGGCCGGGCGAGTGTAAGGACAAGGGTGGCGGCTGCGATAAGCGTGCGGTGACCTTTGCGCGGGGCAGGTCCTTGGCACCCCAGAGCTCAGACTCGCTGCGGTCGCCAAGCCAAGCGTCTCGGGGGCCGCGCCGGGGTCGGGGCGCCGCTGCCATGGACATCCCGCCTCTAGCCGGCAAGACCGCGGCGCTGTCGCTCGGCGCTCTGCCGCTGTCCTACGTGCTCAACCAAGTCTCGGCGTTCTCACAGTGCGTTTCGTCCGCGAGGACCACCGGGCTAGAGGAAGGATGAGGGGTGGTGGAGCCCGGGAGATGGGAGCTGGGTCTGGGAGGCGGCCATGCAAGCAGAGATTCCCCTCCCGCTGCGCTGAGGCAGGGGGATGCTGTGGTGAGATTCTGTGGAAAAGTGATATGAAGCCTTAATGTTTGGGACGTTTATGAGTATTCCAGGGATGCACCCCGCTTAAGTTCCAAAGTCGCCTAGGGTCAAAGTTTTGTTCTAGATAAAGCTCTACTGACCCAGCTCCCCTGGCACGCATGCCCTCTTCCATCGCCTCTGTCTCAGGCTTAGAATAACTTTGCAGTGACCACCCCGTCCCTGTGTTCTATCTCTAGTTAGAACCTGGAGGTCCAGCAAATCCCTCACTCCAAAGTTCAGCGGACCCAAATGATGAGCTAGAAAGAGTTTAGCCATAGGTCTGAATTCCGGGCAGCAATACCTGTCTTCTGGGAATCTGAGTGAGCCAAGTGCACTCTGGAAACCTCGGTTCCTTCCTCTGTCTAGGTTTCACTATAGGCGAGGATCACAAGTTCTGTGCAACTAGGTACTTGGTTGGCATTGCTGATTGGGTAAAACCAGGCTGACGTTCATGAAATGTGGGCCTGGGTAGTGCAAGAGAATTGGACAAAACCTTGCTGTGTGACACTAGACGGTGGATTCCCCTCTCTGGGTTTCAGTTTGTTTATCCAGCTGTGTTAATGGAAGCCCAGAGACCTGGCTTCTGTTGTTATCTTCGCAACTAGCTGACCTGTCTTATCAGGTTGGTGGGGTAGATCTGGGCAAGGATAGGGTGCAGCCGATGGAGGCATTTGGACTTTACCTGGGAGGAACTGGGCAAATCCAAATGAATGAATGTCAGCTAATGATGAAATTACTGGAATTAACAGAAAGGAATAGGGAAATCAGGGAGGGCTTCCAGGAGGAGCAATATATACATGGGTCTTGAAGAATGAGTAGGAGTTTGTCAAGTAAAAATCCTAAGCAAGAAGCCTCTGATGGGGAAGGCAAGTTTCATTCTCCCTTGCTGGTGCTTCCTGAGTAACTCCGCCAAGAGGTCTCAAGCATGTGTCCCTTGGTGCCCCCCACAGGCCCTTGTGCGCAGTGCTGATGAGTGCGCTGATACTGGGTCTGCTCTTTATGGCCGTCTACAGTCTGTCTCATGGGGAGATCACCTATGACCCTCTCTATGCTGGTGAGTCACTAAACAGGGCCAACCAAGATTCTCCATCTGTCTTTGAAGGATTCCCATTCAACTGTAGAACTCAAAGGGCCTGAAACATGGTTAGATCGGACAACTTCACAAGGCCTCCTCTTTCAGAACTGGAACTCAAGAGAGAGTTATGTCTTCGTCCCATCAGACTAGGCCCTCATGTAGTCCAGGCTGACCATGAACTTGATCTTCCTACCTCCACTCCCTCCCACTCCCCAGTGCTGAGTGTTGAAATAACAATGGCACCTTGTTCAGCTCCAGACCAGGACTTCTGAGGCCTTGGCTGTGCCTCCTCCATCACATATGTAGAACAACATGCTATAATGCATGACCTGGGCCTGGAGGCTTTCCTGGTGTCCTCACCCTAGACCTGATGTTGCAAGTCCACTTTTAAGCTGAACTAAAAACTAAGGACAGAGTTGCGGGGCCCAGCACTTGGGAAGCTGCAGCAGGTGAATTGCCATTTTTGCTACAGACTCAAACCTTATCAAAAGAACAGAACCTGGGGTTGCACAGGCCCAAATTGCCACTGTGTTGGCTTTAAGCACACGCACACTTGGTCCTAGCCCTGCCCATGTCAGCCACACACACCTACTCCCCCATCTCCTCCCATCTCCCCCCCAGTCTTTGTGTTCTTCTCCTTCACCTCGGTGGTGGACCTCGTTATTGCACTCCAAGAAGATGGCTACATGGTGGGCTTCATGGATTTCTACACCAAGGAGGTAGGTGGTGGCTACCAAGACTGAGGTGGCTTGAGGTGGTCCTGGCCCCACCATGCATGCTCCTGAGTTCCATCCTTGCCCATAGGGGGAGCCCTACCTACGCACAGCGCATGGCATTTTCATCTGCTACTGGGATGGTACTGTCCACTACCTACTCTATCTGGCCATGGCCGGTGCCATCCGGAAGAGGTGAGATGGGTCCCAGGTCACCCATGGATGGCTAAAAGATGTTACCAGAGACTGCTAACAGGTGTGACTGGATGGAGACCACATCTTCTGTACCACTGGGACCATTCCCAGTGCTTTTTTTTTAAAAGATTTTATTTTTTATTATGTATAATGTTCTGCCTGCATGTATGCCTGAGGGCCAGAAGAGGGCACCAGATCTCATTACAGATGGTTGTGAGCCAAAATGTGGTTGCCGAGAATTGAACTCAGGACCTCTGGAAGAGCATCCAGTGTTCTTAACCACTGAGCCATCTCTCCAGCCCACTGAAAATCTGAATCTTCTTGTCCTGGAACTAGCTCTTGTAGACCAGGCTGGCCTAGAACTCACAGAGATCTGCCTGCCTCTGCCTCCCGAGTGCTGGGATTAAAGGCGTGCGCCACCACTGCCCGGCTCATTCCCAGTACTTATTTGTGTGAGGTGCCATCCTGGCATATACTGAGCATGATCAAGACCCACATTCCATCCCCATAAATAAATAAAGCCCAAGAAGAACCCAGCTGAAGGGCCAAGGTGGCCTCTGGGCCCTAACAGATTGGGGGTTAGTGGCCCACAGCGACCCCTCTATCACTTCCCAGGAAAAGGTACCGGAACCTTGGGCTCTACTGGCTGGGGTCCTTCGCCATGAGCCTCCTGGTGTTCCTCCCAGGAAACATCCTTGGTAAGACAGCCTCTGAGACTCCACCCCTCCACAGGTCTGAAGACCCAATAACCTTGTGTCTTGGCCAGCAGCCAAGACCCCCTTTACCCCTTTCCTTGGGGAAGTGAAGGGAGACAGCATTAATCCTGCTACCTCTTCAGGCCCAGAATGTTCTTTACACAGGAGGAGTTTTAGGGTGGGTCCTGGGGGCAGAAGTCTTTGAGGTGGGGCAGGCTGACAAGTTCCAGGGTTGAAATGGCTCAGTAATGCTAAGCAAAGAGACATATTTGATGGGAAACAAAGATGTCTTCACAAGTGTCAGGCCTGTGTTTAGGCTAAACTTAGCTAGGCTAGGGCAAGGAGCATCCTGGGAAGCCATGGAAGCGCTTGAGCAAGAACAGTGTAACTCCAGACGTCCAGGTGGGGCTCCTGAGTGACTCATTTGCCATTAGGAGATCTTTCCTAGTCATATGCTCTCCGTCCCGGCAGGTAAATACAGTTCAGAGATCAGACCTGCCTTCTTCCTCGCCATCCTCTACATGCTGGTCCCATGCTGGGCTGGTGTGAAGATCTTCAGCCAGTCCCGTGCACCAACCTCCTACACCCTCAACATGGTGAGTGCTCCACTGTACACAGTTTGTGAAAGACTGGACCAAAGGCTGTGTGTAAAGTCAGGTAATGGTGGTCTGCCTATCACGCCAGCACTGGGGAGACTGAGTTCAAGGTCAGCATAGGTTTTATGGTAAGACTGTTTCAAAACTCCGAGGACTCAAGTGTGGCTCAACACTGGCCTAGAACCCCCCAATGAGGGGCTAGGCTTTGGCTCACAGGTAGAACACTTGCTCAGCCTGTACAAGACCTTGCTCAATCCTCAGCTCAAGACGCAATGACTGTCTACTTGGGAGAGCCTCCTTGGTTCTCAAAAGACATAGGGGAGCATTTACTGAGCATCTGCCAGACTCTAGGCTTCTCTGGCTAGCTCTGGCTTTCTCTCACATGGGCCAGGTACAGGAGGAGCAAAAAAAAGGCCTCCTACAGCGCCCAGCCGACCTGGTGATGGTCACATACCTCGTCCTTGCTGCGTTCTTCACTCTCTTCCGGGGCCTGGTGAGTCTGCCTTGGCTGCCTCCTTCCTCCACTTCCAGACTCCCTTCTCAGCCTTCTTCTCCCAAATTTATTTCCTTATTCATTGCCAAAAGGACAGACACATTCTTCTATCTCATTCTCAAGAAAGTCCCTCACTGTCTGACCTGAAGTTTCCATGACAAATGCCTGTTCCCCAGAGCCTCTTCTTAGCTCTCTCATTGTGAATTCATAACCAAATGGAGAGAACTAGGGAGGGCTGAGAGGAACCAGAGTGGCTGGTGTGGGCTTGGCTTGAGAGCTGGAGTGGGGAGGAGCCTCGTGAGAGGATCGAGATGGATGGTGGTTATCTGTGTGTCTTAGGTGGTACTTGACTGCCCCACAGACGCCTGCTTCATCTATATTTACCAATATGAGCCATACCTGCGGGACCCTGTGGCCTACCCAAAGTTGCAGGTGAGAGCACAGGTGGAAGGAGAAAGCTGTGGTCCTGCCCAAGCATCTTTGACACAGTTACCTGAAAGCCATGCCAGCCAGGCAGATGCCTTCAGGTATGGCAGGATCCAAGTGCTCAAGACATGGCTTGGCTGTGCCTTCTTAGCAAGGCTCCCTATCATGTCCCAGAAGCACGCAGGAGTTTCATCCATGCCCTTGGAAATGCTAGGATTTAAGAACATGTCTCACAGAGGCTCTGATTAGCCCAGCTTGAATCACATAGCCCTGTCAATCATACTAGTCTTGGAAATGGGGTGTTCCAATTTGCTAGGCCAGTGTTCTGCACCATCTGGGCAGCTAAGTGTGTGTGACGGGTGAGGAGCCCCATGTAGAGCCCCCACCGTGAGTTCTCACAGCTTGTGGTCTCCCCTAGATGCTGGTGTATTTGTTCTATGCTCTGCCTTTCTACTGCTTGGCTGCCTATGCCCTCATTTTCCCTGGCTGCTCCTGGCTGCCAGACTGGGCCTTGGTGTTTGCCGGAGCCATTGGCCAGGTAAGGAGTGGGGTAGTGATGGTGGAGCCCAGGCCCAGTGATCCAGAATTCCCTAGTCTGAAGGAGATAGCTGGATGTATATCCACACACAAGTAGCTCCAAGCCCCCTAGTCGAGCTAGGAAGAACCATGCTGGGATATGGCTCCAGGGTCCAGTGTTTGTCTAGCATGTACAAGCACATAGCTTCTATCTCCCCAGCACTGGAAACAAGCAAACAGACAAACTAATGAGCCAGGCAAGGTGGCGCACACCTTTAACCCCAGCATTCAGGGGGCAGAGACAGGTGGATGTCTGTGAGTTCAAAGCCAGCCTGGTCTACAGAGCAAGTTCCAGGACAACCAGGGCTGTTAAACAGAGAAACCCTGTCTCATAAAAATCAAAAACAAAATGTAACAAGCAGAAACGTGGAGGGAAGGAGCGACAGGGGCTGAGAGCAGATGCAGAGCAGAAAGACTGGGACCCATGAAGGGAAAATGCAAGGAAGGCAGCCGACCAGCACAGAAAGGCAGCAGAAATTGGAGCTGGATGTTGAAGACTTTGGACTTGAGGCTCTAGGCGTATGAAGGGAGGCCGGGAGCCGCCGAAGCTGTGTGAACATTGGAGGGCTCAGAGCTATTTCTGGGTTTTTGGTAGGAAGAGAAAATGCCTAGAACCAGCCAAGGCAGGGGGCCCAGGAAGTCTCTGCGAGTTGATTACATTTGTGAGGAGGAAGAATGGGATCCAAGTCAGAGGCAGGGATGTTTATTGCTAAGCAGTTGTTTTGGGGAGGGAAGACTTGGCAGTGGGTGGTGGCCTGAGGGTGCCGGCCTAACCTGTCCTCCTTCCTGTGTCCTTGACAGGCGCAGTTCTCACACATGGGTGCCTCCATGCACCTGCGCACACCCTTCACCTACCGCGTGCCTGAGGACACCTGGACCACCTTCTTTCTAAGCAACATGCTGTTCGCACTGGGTCCACACCTGCTGGCTTTCCGCTGCCTGTGGTGGCCTGACTTCTTCCTGCAGTCACCACCCTCGGAGCCCCAGGGCCAAGGCAAGAAGCAGCAGTGAACATGTGCACGTCTCTGCTAGGACCTCTATGCAGCGGGCCTTGCCCTGCAAGGATGGGTTGGCCCTTTTAAAACTGGATGGACATCTGGGAGAATTGCAACCCAGGCCAGAAAGAAGTGTAGGAGACCCATGACAAGATGCTCTTGCTATGTCACTGTGCCCCCAAAGCCACAAGGACTCTAATGCCCTCTCCTGGAATTTACCCTTCAACTCCCCTCATCCTTTTAATAAAAACCCTTTTGATGTCCTGGACATCACCACCTGAGTGTTTTAGGGAGCTGGAGCAAGGGACCATCTTTTTGTACCCATGAGAGGGTAAGGCGCTCACAGTCACAGAGAGGCCAGGACACTAGGACACTCACAGTCAGCCTCTCGGTGGGATGCACCACTCCGTGTTCCAGACAGGAGGACCGAGGCTCTCAGTATGGCTGGCCACACGCATAAGGTCACACTGGGGAAGTCACAGCACAACCAGGGCTGTGGACGCAGCCCTTGGTAAAGTGCCCTGGCTTTGTCCCCAGCACTACATTAGCTTGCTGTGGTACACACCTGTCATCCCAGCACTGCCGAGGGAGAGGCAGGACCACCAGGAGAACAAGATCATCTTTGGCCATATAGCAAATTGGACACCAACCTGGACGACATTCTCACACTTCCACACCTAAAAGGGTCAGGGACAATAAGTCAGTCAATAATGTGCATGAGGACCTTAGTTCAAATCCCCCAATACTTGCGTAAAAGTAAGTGGCCGAGGCAACGACGTAAGGAAGTAGCCAGCACGGGGGTAAGGGAGTAAAGAAAGGTTCTGCAGAGCCAGCAAGCTCCAGGTTTAGGTAGAAGCTGAGTGTAGTGTTGCATGCCTTTAATCGATACACAGTGAGCTCCAGGTTGTTTCAAACAGGGAGTGAGGAAGACACCAAATGTTGACCTCTGAGCTACACTCGCTCGAACTCTCACACACAGGTGCACATACCACACACACACAGAGCACAGCATAACCAAATGGGGGCATCCAATGATTTCCACAGACTGCTGCCACTGGGCTCCACAGTCTAGCCTGAGACCGGAAGAGAAGATTCTGATCCAAGGTCATACCTGGGCACAGCTGAGTTAGGGACTGGGCTCCTATCTAACGGGGCTTACTTTTCAGGACAAAAGAAGCATGGAGTGCAAACTGAGGCCTGTGAGACTCGTCTGCTGGCCAAGATAGTCCTCACAGCTCGAAAGTCGCGATAGGTCAGGGTCATTATCACCATGTTCCCAGCTCAGCGCTGCCCACTCCCTCCCGGCGCGGTGAGCACGCACTGCCCCTTTAATGCCCCAAGTCCTCCTCCCCTTGCAGGCAAAAGCCTGGATTGCACGGGCCCGCGGGACCGGCGGTCCAGAACGTTGTGCGCGTGCGCAGTTGGACGCGCACCGGCGGCTCTGCGGGGGCCGCGAGCAGGATGGTGAGTGCAGTGGTGTACGGGGTTCCCGAACTCGCCTTTATTTCTCCCCCTCCCTCTCTCCTCTCTGCCTTTCTCCACCCTCTATTGTTTTTTTCTTGCCTCTTCTTTCTTTCTTTGGCACTTTCTCCCTCTCTGCTCCCCTTAATGTCTACCTCTTATTTTAGAGGGGGAGAAGGGAAAGTGCTCACTTTTTCTTTTTCCCTATCTCTCTCTACCAGTCTCTCCTTCCTCTGCCTCTGAGTCTCTGTCTTCTTCTGCATCTCTGTCTCTGCGTCTTTCTCTGGGTCTCCGTCTCTCCGTCTCTGTCTCTATGTCTGTCTCTATGTCTGCATGTCTCTCTCCCGTTGTCTCTCCCGGCCTGGCTCAGTAGTCCAATGTTCCCCTCCTCCCGCACCTGTCTCGCTGTCCCCAGCCCCCGCTCACGCTGCCCAGCTTGCTGCAGTCTCCTGGCGCGCTGATAACCTTGCGGGCCCCGGTGTGGGCTGCTGCTCCCCCTCCCGTGCGCTCCGGTAGCGGGGGTGGGGACCTGAGGGAGGGCGAGAGGAGTCTCGGACAGCTCCAAGGTTGAGACCCTTTTGGGAGGGCAAGACGAGCTGCGGAGGGTCCGGACACTAGGGCAGCTCCTGTGTCCACAGGCGTGCGCTCCGACGGCCCTCGGTCCCCACGCGTTCTGGGCCGTCGCCTGGGGACTCCTGCTGCTGGTCCCCGTACCTGTCGGGGCGCAGCGTGGCAGAAAGAAAGTCGTGCACGTGCTGGGTGAGTCTTGTGCGCAGCTCTGATTCCCCGCCCTCTACCCCCCCCCCCCAGGGACTGTGGGTAAGAGCGAACGACCTGGTTGGGGTAGGGTGGCGGATTGCGGTGGTCCCTAACACGCAGTTTCTTCGGAGCTCCTTTCCTATCCTGGGCCTACATCACTTCTCTGGCATCACTTCTCTGGGTCCCTCCCTACCGCACCTTTGACCTTTGATTGGTCGCCCCACAGAGGGCGAATCCGGCTCAGTGGTGGTGCAGACGGCGCCCGGACAGGTGGTGAGCCACCGCGGTGGCACCATCGTCTTACCCTGCCGTTACCATTACGAGGCGGCCGCTCACGATCACGACGGCGTCCGCCTCAAGTGGACGAAGGTGGTAGACCCTTTGGCCTTCACCGATGTCTTCGTGGCTCTGGGTACCCAGCACAGAGCCTTTGGTCCCTACCGAGGGCGAGCCGAGCTACAGAACGACGGGCCCGGGGACGCCTCCCTGGTCCTCCGAAATGTCACCCTGCAGGACTATGGACGCTACGAGTGTGAGGTCACCAATGAGCTAGAGGATGACGCCGGCGTAGTCAAGCTGGACCTGGAAGGTGACCGAAGCGTGGGCAGATGAGAAAGGGGGGACAGTGTGGGATAAACCGAATCAAGTTGTCACAGCAGAAATTTTACTAGGCAGGGGAATAGTTCGTTTAAAAATATTTATTACAGCTTTTATTGATATGTATATGTTTGAATGTGTGGTCAAGGCGTCCTGCCTCAGTTCCCCTGGAGCTGGAGTTGCAGGTGGTTATACACTGCCTGAGGTTGGTGTGGGAAAACTCTCACCGTCCTTTGAAAGAGAAGCAAGAATTCTCCCTTCCCCCTTTCGAGACAGGGTCTCATTGTGTAGCCCTGGCTGTCTGGAACTCACTCTCTATAGACCAGGCTGGCTTCAAATTCACAGAGAACCGGCTTGCCTCTGCCTCCCGAGTACTGTGATTAAAGGCCCATGTTGGCTTTGAACTCTTGATCTTCAAAGGAAAGTTTATTGAATTTGTGGTGTGTGTGTGTGTGTGTGTATGCATATGAGTGTGCATCTGCCATGGTGCTTGCATGGAGGTCACAAACAACTTACAGAACAGATTCTTTCCTTCTGCCAGTAGGTCCTGGAATAGTACTCAACTCCTCGGGCTTGCTGGCAAATCCCCTTACCCTCTGAGCCATTTTGCTGGTCTCTCTGAACACTTTAACGGTGGTAAATCATAGTAGCTGGCTTCCTTAGATGCTCTCTGTTTGCTAGCCACTTAGCTGAAGGGCGCTCTGGAGCTTCTGATTTAATTCCCCCAAATCCCCGAGGAAGATAGCTGTTAGCCAGGAGGTGAGCTCTGTCTGCAGGAGACTGGGCATCTGTGAGTCTAGGAAGCAACAAGTTCGGAGTTGTCACACTGAAGTTGCAACAGAAGCACTTTAAATATAAACCGGCAAACTAAGGAGCTCAACACTCTGCCTAACTTTTCAGGAGCTAGTGTGGAGGAATCCAACGCTAGGAACAAGCATTTCCAGCTCTGTGGTCCCTTTGGGAAGGATTTTTTTTTTTTTTTTTTTGGATTATCAGAACATTGGGACTGAAGAGGGTTAAGAGTTGAGTTTATGGGGCAGTGGTGGCGCACGCCTTTAACCCAGCACTTGGGAGGTAGAGGCAGGTGGCTCTCTGTGAGTTCAAGGCCAGCCTGGTCTACCAAGCTAGTTCTAGGAAAGCCAGGACTACACAGAAAAACCCTGTCTAGAAAAACCAAACCAAAACAAAACCAGCAACAACAAAAATAAACAAAAAAATGAGTTTTGAAGGATGAATAGGGCAGGTAGAAAAGGATAGAAGAACATGAGCAAAGGTCTCCGACCATAGAAGAGATTAAGTATGTTAAGGAGGAGGGACCAGTCCCAAGCATATATCCAAGGATGTGTGTGAGCTGGCCAGAGGTGTGGCCAGACCCGAGGGCCAGAGAGAAGAATGAACTGGGAGGTTCTGGTTCATGTAAGGTACATGAGAAACTGGGGTACCCTGATAGGTTCCCATTTGTTTTCTTTTTTTTTTTTTCTTTTTCTTTTTTTTGGTTTTCGAGACAGGGTTTCTCTGTGGTTTTGGAGCCTGTTCTGGAACTAGCTTTTGTAGACCAGGCTGGCATCGAACTCACAGAGATCTGCCTGCCTCTTTCTCCCAAGTGCTGGGATTAAAGGCGTGTGCCACCACCGCCCGGCTTCCCATTTGTTTTCATCCAGGTGTGGTCTTCCCCTATCACCCTCGTGGAGGCCGCTACAAGATGACTTTCGTGGAAGCACAGCGAGCTTGCGCTGAACAGGATGGCATTCTGGCGTCCGCCGAGCAGCTGCACGAAGCCTGGCGCGATGGCCTGGACTGGTGCAATGCAGGATGGTTGCGCGATGGCTCTGTGCAGTACCCAGTGAGCCAGGCCCGGGAGCCCTGTGGCGGGGCAGGGAGCAATGGGGCTGGTGGAGGCACTAACGGAGGCGTGCGCAATTATGGATATCGCCATAATGCTGAGGAACGCTATGATGCATTCTGCTTCACGTCCAACCTCCCTGGTGAGTTAAGCCCTTCTCTAGTAAAAGCTTAAGTCACGGCCTCTGGAAGGAAACCGCCCCAAGATTTTAGACCCACTTCTCTGAAGTGAGGCTCCACCCATAAATACACAGGTTCCACCGACCCACCCCCACCCTGCCCCCAGGGAATCTTTTTCTCTTTCCTCCTAAGCATTATGCCCTCTCCCTGGGACAAGGCACACCCCTCAAGTTCAAATGACCCCTCCCTGAAGGGACACCTGCCTTACATGCACAGGTAGCCCCACTCCTGAGTGCATAGGTTCAGCCCCTAGAAGGAATTTCTCTCAAGCGCATATGCCCTGCCCCCTAAAAGAAAAGAAAATCCACGCCGAGAGCATAGTCCCCAATCCTTGCCCTAACCATTAGCCATAGGGCCTGGCAGACGGAGGGAAGTTTGTCTCAGAAATATAGACTCGTTTGTGCATAGGCTCCATCCCTAAGGGCACAGGCTCTTGAGTGAAGACCCCCTCCCCCATACTCGCACAATAGGCTCCGCCCTAGGAGAGAGGCCCAGTTCAAGCGCATAGTCTCCCCCCACCCCTAAAGAAAGGCCTGTTGGAAATGCAAAGGGCCTGCCCCGTGGTTGGAGGTCCATTTCAAGAGTTTAGACCATGCGCCCAAGAGCACAGATCCCCACCTAATGACATAGGCCCCGCCTCCAGGATCATTGACCCCACCCCTAAGTAATCAGGCCCCGCCCCCTCCGCCTTGCCGTGAGCTACTAGGAAGACGACTTTCCAGAGCTGCCACAGGGGGGCAGTAAAATGCCACATGGCACGGCTTCGCACTGACAGAAGTCATTGGCAGGGAATGGGACAGACCCGGAGCTGGGAGCCTCAGGCTTCCGGAGCCCTGAGGGCCCAGCCCTGGCCTGGTGCTGACACGCCCCCGGGTCCTGCAGGACGCGTGTTCTTCCTGAAGCCTCTCCGGCCAGTGGCCTTGGCCGGAGCAGCTCGAGCTTGTGCGGCTCGCGGTGCAACGGTGGCCAAGGTCGGGCAGCTGTTCGCCGCCTGGAAGCTACAGCTGTTGGACCGCTGCACTGCCGGCTGGCTGGCCGACGGCAGCGCGCGCTACCCCATCGTGAATCCGCGAACTCGCTGCGGGGGCCCCCGGCCGGGCGTCCGCAGCCTCGGATTCCCCGACGCCTCACGACGTCTCTTCGGCGTCTATTGCTACCGCGCTCCAGGTGCCCCAGACCCCGCTCCAGGAGGCTGGGGCTGGGGCTGGGAGGGCGGAGGAGGCTGGGCAGGAGGGTCGAGGGACCCGGCTGCCTGGACCCCGCTGCGTGTCTAGGACTGCGAGGACGGGCGTTTGGGGATGTTGGTGGCTGATCCAGGGGCCCTGCACACCCCATGGAGACAGACTACATACCAGAGAACCCTTGAACACGCCACACCCCCATGGTGTGCTGAAGGCTGACTCAACTACCTGTGGTCTTAGGACACTGACCACACCTCCTGAGGTCTCCTTGAAACACAACGTACCCTGCAGTGCCCTGCAGGTTGACTGTGCCGCTCTCTGAGACACCCTGATAGTGGCCAAGCCCACTTTTTCTGGATAGTGGATGTCCTATCTTCGCGACTTTGTCTGGAAGAGCCTCGCTCCCCGCTCCCAACCCCCAGGATCTCAGTAGACCAACAGGACCCCACGGTTTCCTAAAAACCTTTCTGTAGCCTCCTGGAAAACAGTCCCTGTCAGTCACCTGGAGGCTGGACCCCCAGGGTTAACTGGAGACTGGTCACACAAACCCTCTGCCTTTCCCAGGAGCTGGAAAGCTGGTCTTAGACAGTCGACTGTCCACCGACTTTTCCTCATTGCTTGGTGAAGAAACAGAAAACTGTGAGTCAAAAGGTGGCCACGCTCTGTTCCGGCGGGTGGCGCAGAGGCTGGGTATTCCAGCTTTTCCAGAGAGTCTAACTTTCCAGGGTAACATGCCTAGTCCCCAGTCACTATGGAAGAGAGTCCCAACACCTCTGGCTTCATGGGAGAATGTCCCCAGCTGGCTCCCAGGGACAGTGGCCATGCCTACCCTCAGGTATTTCTCTGGCCAGAGATTAGACTCGCCTGAATGTTCCTTCGCAGGCTCCTTGGAGCTGTCACCAAAGACATCATTTCCTCAACCTGAACCCCCTGAAAATCTTACTTGCTATAGAGACATGCTGCTCGGCTTCTTACGATGACAAAGTCACTATTGCGTCTCTACCTGTCCTCTCGCTCCTTACACCCGGTTCCACACTCGTCCTTTCTTACTGGCCTAGAGCCCAGACAGCTACCACTCCATTTCCGAATGTCCCCATCCTGATGAACCACTATGGAGACTGTTTTCCCCACTGAGCCCTCAGGGGGACCCAGCATTCATTTCTCTAGGCTCTCTATGGAAACAAGCTGCCCCATTCCCAAGGTGCACCTCCCGCTCTTCTCAGCCGTCCAAGTCCCTCCCCCAGACAGCTTGAACCTCACAGCTGTTGCCATGGAGAGAACAGAACACCTGTCCCTCCAAGGTTTTCCCTCCAGGGTCCTGTCCTACTCAGTTGTCGCTATAGAGACCGTCAATGTCTCCATGACAACTGATCTGCAGCTCTCAGGAACTTCTTGCCAAGGGCAGAGTTCTGATTGGAGCTGCCTGCTGTGTTCCTCAAGGGCCCAGACAGGGGTCTGCTTCTGGAGCAGCTGCCCGCCACAGTTCATTTGCATGCTAACTCTACTGCAGGCAGCAGCTGAGCACAGGCCGCTACTGAAACCCCCTCCAGCATTTTAAATTATCACCTGTAGGTGAGAAAAGAGACTGTAGCTCTGCACAGGGTCAGAGCTTTCCTTCCCTGGAGATCAAGGAGGGTGGAATGTTCCTGAAACCACCAATTCAGTTTCCTAGGGACCATGTGTGTTCAAGGGTCAGGACCAACATCCAAAGACTGTATAGTCAGACGCAGGAGTTCCCAGCTTTGAGGTGCTGCTTGGAGTAGCAAGTGCCCTGTTCTGCAAAGCCCACCTTTGAGTCTGGAAGCTGGGTGGCTGTGGGCTCAAGCCATACATTTTGTTGTAAAATGTTTGACCAAGTGACAGAACTTGACCAGGCTGTTTCCTCTCTGGACCAGGATTGCTCGGGGGTCACACAGAGCAGCCTGCAGCCCCGTGTTCAATAAACCTTTTTCTTTTGATGACTGAGAAATATGGCTGCCGTGCTCCTCTGTCTCTGTAGTGGGCTTCTCAGGCTGGGCTGGGAAGCAGCTGCCTCCTTCAGTGCCCACTCGCCCAGAGCAGGGCCCTATGAAATACTCTGACCTCCTCAAGTGCATAGTGGGATATATGCATAAGAACCATCCTGTAATTTTAACAATGGGTCCAGCTAGGATCTGGTTATAGAATTTAGGTAGCCATTTATAATTTTTATCTTTACGTGTTTGTGTTTTGTCTGCACTACTATGCATATGCCTGCTGCCCCTGGAGGCCTGAAGAGGGAGTTGTAGCCCCTAAAACTAGAGTTTTGGATAGTTGTGGATAGTTGAGCCTCAGTCCTCTGGAAGAGAAGCCAGTCTCTTAAACACTAAGCCATCTCTCCAGCCCCTAATTTTTATTTGTAAACGTTATTCATTAGCTTTTTTTAGTGTGTGGAGTGTGTATGAGTGGTTAGAGGACGCGCCTGAGTCTCAGGGGTTAACTAACATTCATGCAGTCCTGGACCAATCAGGGTTGCTCTGGGAAATGGGCCATACCATTGGCTGAACTGGGAGGGATGGCTCCACCCCTTCAGTTTCACCAAGTGAAAACAGGAAACTTTAGCTAGGAAAGAGAAAAGTCTGAAGCTGGATCCACTTCAGGGATGGGAAAATTTTATCTATAAGTTTATCCCACTCTGACCCATGCGGTTCCAGCACCCTAATCAGCTGGGTGTGCTGGCACACACTATTAGTGCTAGCGCTCTGGAGGTAGAGGCAGATAGATCTCTGAGTTCAAGACCCTTTGGGGGCTGGAGAGATGGCTCAGAGGTTAAGAGCACTGACTGCTCTTCCAGAGGTCCTGAGTTCAATTCCCAGGAACCACATGGTGGCTTACAGCCACCTATAATGAGACCTGGCGCCCCCTTCTGGCTTGCAGGCACACGTGGAAGGAATGCTATATACATAATATAATAAATAAATATTTTTAAAAAAAGACCCTTTTGGGCTGCAGCAATGGTTCTCAACCTGTGGGTCTCGGCTCCTTCGGGAAACACAAATATTTACAATGATTCATAACAGTAGCAAAATTACTGTTACAAAACAGCAACAAAATAACTTTATGGTTGGAGTCACCTCAGCGTGAGGAGCCTATCAAAGCGTTAGGAAGGTTGACGACCACTGGTCTATAGAGCTAGTTTTAGGCTAGTTAAGGCTACATAGTGAGACACTACTTCAAAAAAGAAAACATCCTCCCCCCAAATAAACTAAGCCAAGGCTTTAATCCCAGCACTCAGGAGGGAAAGGCAGTCCGATCTCTGTGAGTTCGAGATCAGCCTGGTCTACAAGAGCTAGTTCCAAGGGCTGGAGAGATGGCTCAGAGGTTAAGAGCATTGCCTGCTCTTCCAGAGGTCCTGAGTTCAATTCCCAGCAACCACATGGTGGCTCATAACCATCTGTAATGGTGTCTGGTGCCCTCTTCTGGCCTGCTGGCATACAACACATACAGAATATTGTATACATAATAAATAAATATCTTAAAAAAAAAAAAAAAAAAGAGCTAGTTCCAGGACAGGCTCCGAAGCTACAGAGAAACCCTTGAAAAAAAAAAAAACTGGGATTAAAGGTGCGCGCCACCCTGCCTGGTCTCCTTTCCTGCTTTTGTTTCTTGTTTCTGACAGGGTCATACATAGCCCAGGCTCTTCTTGCTCACACCTCACACCCAGGTTGTGCACACTGCTTCTGTCTGTTGAGACGTGTGTATTGGTCATGTTTCTTCTCTCTGTGACCAGATGCCAGGCAGAGCAAATTAAGGGAGAAAGGGTTTATTAGACTCTGAGATAGAGGATACAGCCTGTCACAGTGGGGATGTCTCAATGGCAGGGGCATGAGGCACGGGGCGCACTATGCCCCGTCAGGAAACAGAGTAATGAATGCTACCAGTCCCCGTTTTCTCTGTCTTTACACTGGTTTTGCTTTGTTTGTAAGATTTCTTTATTTTGTGGGGGAGGGGAGGACACACTTCATGGTTCCCTTATGGTTCTCCACTAATACCATGGGTTCAGGGAACTGAACTAAAACCATCAGACTTAGCCGCAAGCACCTTCACCAGCAGAGCCATCTTGATGATGTTTTCAATAAATCAGTTTTCAGGATGATTTTGGTCTTTTCTCTGTCTGAAACCGTGGCCACCCCCCACAAAGTCTAGTCCATGCTATGCCTCCATTGCACCCTCCTTGCCTGGCATGCAGGTGCACACCTGGGAGGCTAGTGCAGGAAGAGCTTGAGTTTGTGTCTGCCTGGGACACATAGTGTCTCTGTAAAAACTAAATTAACAAATGAAGAGGACAACGACTTCCCTGCGCTCCCTCTGCATACAGCAGCAGCCTGTGGCTGCAGCTCATCTCGTGGAGCCTGTGGCCAAGCTGGTAGCGTGCTCTCCCAGCATCCCATAAACCAAATGTGGCAACACTGAAAAGGCAGAGGCAGATGAAATCTCTGTGAGTTCGAGGCCAACCTGGACTACAGAGAGCAACTCTGTTTCCAAAACAGAAAACAAAAACCCCCAATCAATCAGGAGTTCAAGGTCATCCTCAGAACTTAGGAATTCTGGCCAGCCTAAGTTGTAAGAGTCCTCACGTCAAAGAAACACAGGGGCCCAGTGAATAATACCAGACAGGTGAATGGGTGAGAGACAGTCTCAGGGGGCCACAGGCAAAATGAACTGTTAAAAAATTTTATTAAAATGTCCAAAGATGTACATTAACATCCACAGTGTCTGCACAGACTCACGGAAGTTCGAAGCCCCAAGAGAAAGCCCAGCAGAACCTGGAGCCATTCTCACACACTCCTGCACTTCTGCTACACGCATGGCCCACAGAGGGAAGGAGCAGAAGACGAATCTCCACAACAGAAAATGCCAAAGGCCCTCCATTCCTGGAGCAGGACTGGGTCAGGGCACAGCACTGAGCCCCAAGCAGCCACATCCCCAGTCCTCCTGCCTGGGATCGCCAAGGGCTTGGCTAGGGTTCTCCCCCCTCTGAACCATGAAATGTTAGTAAGAAAACAGCTGTGGGCAGCTTCCCAGCCACAGCCAGAGGCCAGACTTTTCGCAGCAGGGGCCACTATGATCAGGATCCACTTCGCTTTTCTCAACCAATCCCAAGCCTACGTGTGTGTGTGTGTGTGTGTGTGTGTGTGTGTGTGTGTGTGTTCATGGGCCAGTAAAGAGGTCAATCTTTTCCTCCATACACAAAGCAAAGTTTGAAGCACAATGAATACCAGGGTTTGGGAATGGGGCTGAGTTGATAGTGTTTATAGAATAGCTGATAAGAGTGCCTGCAGCTCAGTAGGTGCAGTGTCTGCAGCTCAGAGGATACAGTGCTTGCAGCTCAGTGAGTGCAGAGCTTGCAGCTCAGTGGATAGAGTGCTTGCAGCTCAGTGGGTGCAGTGCTTGAGCTCAGTGAGTGCAGAGCTTGCAGCTCAGTGGGTGCAGTGCCTGCAGCTCAGTGGGTGCAGTGCCTGCAGCTCAGTGGGTGCAGTGCTTGCAGCTCAGAGGATACAGTGCTTGCAGCTCAGTGGGTAGAGTGCTTGCAGCTCAGTGGATAGAGTGCTTGCAGCTCAGTGGATGCAGTGCTTGCAGCTCAGTAGGTAGAGTGTTTGCAGCTCAGTGGATAGAGTGCTTGCAGCTCAGTGGGTAGAGTACTTGCAGCTCAGTGGATGCAGTGCTTGCAGCTCAGTAGGTAGAGTGTTTGCAGCTCAGTGGATAGAGTGCTTGCAGCTCAGTGGGTAGAGTACTTGCAGCTCAGTGGGTGCAGTGCTTGCAGCTCAGTGGGTGTAGTGCCTGCAGCTTAGGTAGTATGCACAAAACTCTGGGTTCCATTCCTAGTACTGTATATACCAACTATAGTGGTGCACACCTATCATTCCAGCACTTGGGAAACTGAGGCAGGAAAATCAGGAATTTAAGGTCATCCTTAGCTGCACAGTACATCCAGGCCAACCTGGGATACATGAGGCCCTGTTTAAAAAGCAAAGCAACTTTACACTAATTACAATGCACAGAACAAAATCCTTCCTCTAGTATTGAAACCTCACTACCTTCATGTGTAAAAAGGGAGACCAAGGGCCACCTAGGCTGCCGAGAGGAATCGAGGGCAATGATACAACGACTTGGGTGACTTTTACTCAGTAACTGCCCCAGGCTCTCATTACCCTCCATGAGGGATGAAGGCTCAGTAAACACAGTTCCATTCATATTGATCCATTGAGTAGGCCATACATACACTTGCTTAGGAAGAGCTGGGGAAGGAACCCAGGACCTTGTGCAGGTCTGGCTAAGCACTTGCCCCTGCCCTTCCAGACCAGGTCCCACACATTTTGAAAATCTTACTTACTTTGTGCTTGTGCAGTGTGTGTGGTGCTGGGTTTGTACGGGTGGGGGCTTGTGCTTGCTCGCGTTGCATGTGAAGGTCACATGACCTTTAGGAGCTGGCTCTGGCCTTCCACTTGTTTCTGCCATGCTACACCCTCCAGGCCAGCTGGCTCACAAACTTGCTGTCTCTGCCCGCCTCTCACAATACGAATACTGGGATTACAGATTGATTCATGTCACTCCACCTGGCTTTTCTTTTCTGAAACATGGGTTGCAGAGATTAAACTGCTTCTTTAGGCTTATTCTGCTAGCATCTTTATCGGCTGAGCTGTGGTCAAGCTCCACGCGGTGGTTTTAACACAAATTCACAGGTTTTAAACCCAGACTGGAGGGCCTGAAAGTGGAGACAATCTCTGGCCCCTCTGGGTGATGAACCCCACCCCTGGCTTGGGGAAGTCTTTTCTGAGGTGCAAATGGGAAGAGGGAGTATAAGTGGGCTCTATCACATCTTACAAGTGTGAGACGAATGTGTGTGTGTGTGTGTCACTTCTAACACCTAACACCACTCCTCTCTACAACGGGACCACAAGGAGCCCCCTGACAAGGTGTGGGGATAGGAGGCGGCAGGGCAGGGGTAGGGCCTAAGGCAGGGGATTTACTGAGGTCTGCAGAAAGGGTTTGGTCCAGGCAGGAGGTTATCTGTCTCCCTGAGAGATGGAAGGCGAGGAAGGCAGTGGCAGCCAGACCACATTTCTATACACATGGGTGTGAGAGATTGTCATCACAAACCCATGAAACCACCACACGACAGTGTATGTCTGTCATCCCAGCACTCAGATGCCTGAGAAAGGATTGCTGTGGGCTGAAATCCAGCCTGGGTTATAGAATGAGATCCTATGTCAATAAACAAGAGAAGGCCAGGCACGGTAATCCCAGAAAGCAGAGGCAGGCAAATCGCTGAGTTCCAGGCCAGCCTGGTCTACATAGCAATTTCCAGGCTAGCCAGGGCTGCACAGTGAAGCCCTGTCTCAAAACAAAAGCACTGTGGCTCAGCACCCCACTTGACCTGGAGGGAGGCCAGCAATATACTGCCCCTCCCTACTGCTCTGAGTAATCTCCCCCCAGAAGCTGAGGAGGCCAGTGGCTCTAAGAGACATCACTAAACTTCAGCACACAGAGGTCCACACTAGATTATGCACCAAGACCAAAGACCAGGGCTTAGTTAGTAAAGAGAGCACTTGCTGTACTCATGAGGCCCTGGGTCCCGTCTGCAGCACCAAATGAACCGGGCGGGCATGGTGGTGCATAGCAAGAGAATCATCCTTGGCTGCAACAGTGAGTTCAAGGCCAGGCTAGTCTATGGGGATGGGGGAGATGGAGGGTTGGGGGAAGGAAGAAGAAAGAAAGCCACACAGATCAAAGACCGCCCTTGGGGTCAATCCCAGGTGAAGATAGAACAGGCCATGTTTGCACTGTGGTCTTCTGAGCCTCACTTTCAAATCCAGTGACCTTGAGTCAAAGCTTCACCCTGGATTTAGGATGGTTCACCGTTTACTAAGCCTGAATCTCTGGTGTGAAAGCTACTCCCAGAACACACACACAGACATACCATTGCCCCCTCTTGGAAGTTTAGCAGCCAGTCTCCAGGATCCCCTCTCCTGTGACTGGGAGATACTCCTAGAGGCTCAGCCTGACCACCCTGGTCACTCCCAGGAGGACCTCAGGAGGGAAGGAAGGGGGGATCTGAGCTTTGTACAGAGGACTGCAGGGGTGTGGGTCTCAGGGGTGTTCCCACCCTCTCTTCCGTGGGTGTCTGGGTTCTGGCTTCCCAGGAGAATGCTCTGGAAGAGGTGTGGGAGTGTGTGCTTGCTTAGCCTGGGTTTTCAGCAGAAATCCCCCTCGTCCTTCTCCCAGTTTTCCGCTGGGTGTCTTTTGTGTTTTCTGTGCTCCTTGCGGGGATTGTGATGTCGGTGCTGGCGGTGGTGGTGTCTACGCATCCGATGTGATCGCCTGGCTGCAGGGATGGGAAAGAGATGTTGGGGTGGTTGGATGTCACTGGCCTCCTCAGGGGGATGAAAAGAGAAAAAATACAGGCAGGCCTGGTATGGTGGCTTTCAGGGGCAGAGGCAGGAAGAACTGAGTTCAAGGTCAGCCAAGAGCTGCATAATGAGACTGTCTCAAAAAACCCAAAGAATCAAGCGAGGTGGCAGTGGCGCACGCCTTTAATTCCAGCACTCAGGAGGCAGAGGCATGCAGATCTCTGAGTCTGAGGCCAGTCTGGTCTACAGAGCGAGTTCCAATACAGCCATGCTACACAGGGAAACCCTGTTTTTTGTTTTAAGACTTATTTATTTATTATGTATACAACATTCTCCCTCCATGTATGCCCACATGCCAGAGAAGGGCACCAGATCTCATTACAGATGGTTATGAGCCACCATGTGGTTGCTGGGAATTGAACTCAGGACCTCTGGAAGAGCAGCCAGTGCTCTTAACCTCTGAGCCATCTCTCCAGCCCCAGGGAAACCCTATTTTGAAAAATAAAACAAGACAGACAAAAAACAAAGAACCAAAACAAAATCCAATTTGGTGAGGGCTGGAAATGTGACTTAGTTTACCAAAAGAGCTCCATACCTGAACTGTGTGGTCACACTCTGTAGCCCAGGCTGGCCTGGGATCTGCAGCCCTTTGCACCAGTCTCAGAGTAGCTGAGCACAGGGTCAACGCCCAGAGCCTTGGCTGCACATCCCAACTTCCATACTGTGCTACATGAGATTTTGTCTCAAAAACACAAAAAAAGCACTAGGTGGGCTGGTGAGTTTTCACTTCTCTGTAAGGCTGCATCACCACGAGGATTTTTGTTTTGTTTTGTTCTGTTTGTCAAGACACAGTTTCTCTGTGTAACAGCCTCAGTTGTCTTGGAACTCAAATTGTGGACAGGATGGCTTAGTTCTGCCCCTGAGTGCAGGGATTAAAGGTGTGTGCCACCACTGCTGGGCCACAGGCCAAAGGAAGACATTTTTTTAAAGACAGAGCCTCACATAGTTCAGGCTGACCTTAAACTTACTTTATAGCAGAGGATGAACTTGAATTATTGATCCTCTTGCCTCTACCTCCTGAGTGCTGGGAGGACAGGCGTCTGGAAATGGAGCCCTGACTCCTCTACCCACTGAGTCCCGCCCTCAGCTTAGCTTTTTTCTTCCAGTGGGTCTTGTGCAATAGCCCAGGTTGACCTCAAACTGTAATCTTCCTGCCTCAGCCTCCACGTTGTGGAGGTGACAGATGAAGCTGTTCCACTATGCAGAGACAGGACCTATAAACACCCGGAACCTTGTCAGGGACAGATTATTGGACGTAGTACTTACGTTTGGTGCAGACAATCTGGGGCCGGTCCCACTTTCCATTGCTCCGGCAGCGGATAGTGGCTATGTGATGCTGGGAGAACCCTTCGTCACACTGGTACCGCACCGTGGCGTGAACACTGTACTTGGCTTTGCGCACACCGACAAGAGAGGCGTTCTCCACTGCTGGAGGGGGACCACAGAGCACTGGGGACAGAGGGGCTGAGGGTGACACAGCTTGTCAAATGGGGGCCCTCCCTCTGCAGAGCTCTGAGCTCAGGGAACTCCACATGACTGTGCCTGTCTCTTGCTTTTTACCTAAACCAGGAACTCCTGGGGGGAGTGTGAAATCTTCTGGACAAAACCCACTCCCTAGGGCATAAGGCACAAGACTAAACTGAAGCACAAAAGAAAAGTGCACAAAATGCATACAGTTATTCCTTCATATGTAAAGAGTGCTAAGAAACTAGCTTGGTGGCACACGGCTTTAATCCCACCACTCTGAGGTCAAGGCCAGCTTGGTCCAGTGAGTTCCAGGACAGCCAAAGCTACCCAGAGAAACCCTGTCTTGAAAAACCAAATAAAAAAAAATTTAAGGGCTGGAGAGATGGCTCAGCGGTTAAGAACATTGGCTGCTCTTCCAAAGGTCCTGAGTTCAATTCCCAGCAACCACAAGGTGGCTCACAACCATCTGTAATGAGGTCTGGTACCCTCTTCTGGCCTTCAGGCATACACACAGACAGAATATTGAATACATAATAAGTAAATAAATATTTTTAAACAATTTTCAAAATAAAAAGAAAGAAAAAGGGGGCTGACGAGATGGCTTAGCAGTTAAGAGCATTGGCTGCTCTTCCAGAGGTCCTGAGTTCAATTCCCAGCACCCACATGGTGGCTCACAACCATCTGTAATGAGATCTGACACCCTTTTCTGGCCTGCAGGCATACATGCAGACAGAACACTGTATTCATAATAAATAAATAAATTT